TAATAAAGGCAACTGTTTTTTGAAATTGCTGCAAAGACTGAGTTAATCCATGTAAAATGTTTAGAAAAGTGCTTGGCACATTGTAAGTACTAATACATTTTTAACTGTTCTTATAATTATAAACTGGTAAACCCCATTATTTTCATGGAGGAAGACACTAAGGCTCAGAATGCTAAAGTGACCCTGCAGTTGGCAGTAACAGGGCTGTTTGCCAGGCTTCAGGTCTCTTTGACTCCTCAACCAGTGTTCTAGAGCATTAATGTGTAGCCCTGCATGTATGATACTCCTTGACTAACTTTTAGGTCTTGAAAGACACAAATTAACAAACACAGTGCTTCTTCAGAAGCATATCTCATACAATGTGGGAATCTGTAACATGTTTTTAATTCACTCTCTTTTCATCCCAAGTTTAACCTTCTAACATCTGAAGAAAGGTACTGGCACTAAATCCCGGAATGTCCAAAAGGCAGGATGGCACCAGACTGTAAAAGAAAATACACGTAAACTTTTTTTTTTTTTAATATTTCATTGAAGGAGGATAGAATACCTGAATACGCTTAGCATTTAAAGAAAGAGACTTCTTTTCTCTTTCTGCATTCTAGAAATACACTCATGTAAACCTCAGATGCTATTATCAGGGCTTGATGAGTTCTAACTTTCAGTAATGAATACCTATCAATTTAAAATTCAAGAGGCAAAAGAAGCTCACAAAATAATAATACGTAGTATTTAGTGAAGTACAATAAATGCAGCAGGATACAAAGATGTAACCAGAAAACATTCTATGCTACACTAAAGCCAGAGTAAGCTTTTAAACAATCTCATCACTTCTCTTTCTTTCATAGATAAATGCATGTACGTACCCCCACATGCACACACACAATCACATCACAGTGTTTAAACCAGCCTATGAGGCCCTGAAATATCTGGCCTGCTGCACACCCCTGCATCTTTGCTGGAGCCTCACTCTCCTCAGCTCTCAGCCAGACGGGTCCTCTTTCCTTTCCTCAAACTCACACGTCTCTCTTCTGCTTTGGGGCCTTGACACTGGCATTCCCTGTGCCTGAAAAGTTCTTTACTTCCTCTAACTACACCTCTGCCTTGGCCTCTCCACCAAGCTATTAACAGCTTGATTTATCCTTCAGACTCTGCTTAAACTTTTCCTCAAAGAAGCTTTCTCTAACAACCTGCACTAGCCTCTTTGCCCTCCCTCCTCCTCAACCAATCACACACAATGAAACATGGTTCTAACAACTTATCCAATAAATATCTTTCTTCCCCCACCAGACTGTAGGCTCAAGAAGGGCACTGGCTTTGTTCAACATTCCTTCCCCTGTGCCTAGCACAGTAGATGTTGAATGAAATTAACAACATCCCCTAAGGATTCAAAAGACCAAGTGATAAACTGATTTCCTAACTTCACTCAAATTTGACACAAGGCATCCCATATCAAGCTGTCAGCATGACAAATACACAAACCACACAAACAGAGGCATGGGTTATATACTACCTTTGGAGAAAAATTCAGAATGAACAAAAACTTGGATTGGGATTATATGTATTTTAAAGTTACCATGTGTAAACCTACAAGAAAAAAAAAGTTACTTTTTAAAACAAGCTTCAGAAAAAGAAAAAGTAACTTGTCACTAACACAACATGCTCATTTTGGAAGACCAAGTAGAGAAGTGGAGAGCGGAGGAAACAAGAATGCATGTGATCCTCCTAGGCTATTACCATTTCTTTCCCAAGTAAATTTATCTCCTAAAAGGAGAGAATATGCCGAACCATCATTCTAAGTGTATCTGGAAAAGTACCTAGTGGCGTGATGGGCTTCTATGAACAGTATGCCTACAAGGACGGGGCACGTGGGTTAAGGGAACAAGCAGCATCATGTAAAGCTGTCTTTGGCAATGGCTCCAGTGCCCTCTTCTTCAGGGTTTCCACCCTAGCACCACTCACAGCATTAAGTTCTCTTACTGTGGGAAGAAAAAAGTAGACTCTTTTCCAACAGAACAGATAGGAATCACAAGACAAAGATTCCAAAAGATCCTTCTAGAGAGTTCTGCTTTATTGAAGGATACACAAGGACAGTCAGCAACAATAACAGCAAAAGCATTTCACTACCAGGAAATAGTTACTGTAACTTTCCATATAGAAAGGAGAAGGAAAAGAGGGGGGAAAAAACCCCCCACAGAACAACAAAAAAAGTTGGGGGTGGGGAAGAATGGGAAAAAAAGAAGAGTGTCGAAGATGAAAGAAAAAAAGGTAAAAAGTAGGTGTAATGAATGGAAAGGATTGAAGGACCAGCACCTAAATTTTACTCAAGTATGTGCATCTGAGAGCTTAAAGAGACCTCAAGAGGAAAACTGCCAGGTCAAGCCTCTTCCCCTTAGGTTAGCAGTGCTGATCAGCCTCTGGCATCCACCAAACCAAAGCCTAGCTTTGAGTTACTGTCATCTAATCTAATTGCGGACATCACGGAAGGTCCTTGAAGCAAACAAGAAAAACCTCTTCTCATTTAGTCTCTACTAATGATTACAGAAAAAAATAAACAGGCGAACTCACTGCTAGTTATACTAGGCAAAGGGAAGAGATTCTGGGTACGCTCAACAGGGGCACCTTTGGCTGTGCTGTGTGTGACCTCCTCGAAGTTACTATGCCAACTGATCCTCCCACACACACCCATTCTTAAAACACCCGGCGCATTACCATACTACAACCTTTTAAAACTTATCCCACAAAAGAAAGGAAAACGTCTCTCACCCACTCTAAGGGATAATGGGAACATTTCTGCTTTCAAACACACTGCCTTTAAAATTTTAAAGACCTAATCTATTTTCTGTGATAAAAAGTTTACTTCCAAAAAAGTGGCTGGCACAGTTTCCAACATATAGTAGGCTTTTTTAAAATACTAGTTGCATACATGAAAAGAATGATCGTTCTGAATAATTTTCACAGCTGTAGAATAGTTACAACCTTCTCAAAATATGAAGCTTTTACCTCCACAAACTAGCAAAAAGGGCGGGTACTATTTTAAAGCCAATCTGTAAGGCACGGCAAGAAAGTTGCAAATATTTGCATTCATTTAACGGTAATTTCAGAGTCTGTAAAACAAAAGGAAATGCTCAACGAGAAAATATAAAAACCTTGTGCAGAGCTTTGAAACTGGAGTTGGGACTCTGACACCTTGGTGTGCACGCAGATGACTCAGAAGGTGACAAAGGGAAAATGTTTGCACTGAGGGCTTTGATAAAGGATCTTTCCCCTGTGGAATTCCAGGTTACTGCTGGCATTCTTTTGAAACCTTCCAACCTAGCTGCGAGCCAAGGGAGTCCGGTTCCTTCGCCAAAATTCAAGAGATTCCCAGAGGACCCTACGGCGGGACGTCTGCGCTTTCCTCCCGCTGCCATGAGAGCACCGTGCCTTTCAAGTACCGTGCCTTTCAAGTCATCCCAAATCTCAGTCTTTGTAGCCTTCCTTGAAGCGAAAGGGCAGCCACAGCTCTTACCCAATCCCAAGAGAGGGCCGTGTCGTCCAGCAGGGTGACACGGTCCCGTGAGAGAACTGCTTTGGGAAATACTCCCGGTCCACGCTGGCCTCAGGAAAGGGCCGTGACCCCCGCCCCGGACGAGTCCAGACACCGCCCTCCCGCAGCACAGACAAAGGACCGGCCCCCAGCGCGCCCCTGGCCCGGCGCGGCCACTCACCGCTCAAATAGTTGGTCCACTTGTACAGCACCCCCTCCATGGCGCCCGCGGCCACTCGGCCCACGCCCGCCGGCCCCCTCACTGCCCCAGACCCCAGGAGGCGAGGAGCACCGGCAGCAGGGCCATCACCCGGCGCGGCCCAGACGCCCACTCCCGGCGCCCGGGCCCGGTGTGGGGACGCCCGGTCCGCCTCACATCCTCGGCCCGGGGGCGCGGTCACTGCGGCGGCCTCGGCGCGAGAAGCCCAGTCAGCCGGTGAGCCCGTGCTGCGAAGCCAGGCACGCTGTTCACAAGGAGGCACGGGCTCGAGCCCTACGTGGATCGGAGGGGCAGCCGAAGCCCCCGAAGTGCGGCGACCGAGCTCCCGGTCGCAGGCGGCGCCACGGCGCCCTACCTGAACCCTAGACCCGCCGGGCCCGGGACGCGCTCACGCATGCCCAGTGCGCCGCTCGCGCGCCCCTTCCCAAAATCCACTCCGGGATTTTGCGGCGGCAGCGGCGGGGCGGACTTTGTGGGCAAGGCACGCAGGGAAATTGAGTCCTGAGACGCTGACGGGTGACTAGGCGATGGGAGGAGGAACGCCCCTGAGACAAGTGTGGAGCACAGTTCTGACTGTAAAGGGTGCCTGATGTTTGGGGGTCTACGTGACCTCTCACGATACCCCCTGTGTTCTTGTTCCAAAGCTGCCTAATTGATCTCACACACTTGAGGTAGCCGATAATAGGGCGTAAAGAGATGATTGGAATTTCAGGGTAGAATACTATGAGGCCATTGTAAACAGGTGTTGTCCAGACTCTAAGGTCTTGCTACTGGAAGTGTTGGTCCACTGACTCGGAGCATTGACATCACCTAAGAAAGAGCTTGTTAGAAATGCAGAATCTTGCACCCACCCCAGACCTCCAGAATCAAAATCTGCATTTTAAACAAGATCTCCAGGGGGATTCCTATGCACATAGAGTGCGGAAATGCACTGTGCTAAGGATATTTGACCAGAAAAAAATGTTAACTACAGATTAAGTGGAAAAAGAAGGTGAGAAAAGAGTACAATACGATTTAAATCCTTTAGGTATATGTTACAGAAGCATGCACCAAAATATTAAGAGGATTATTTGCGGCTGGTGGTGGTACCGACGAGCTTTCTTTTTCTTTAGTGTAAAGTTGCCTGATTTAGTAAATAAAAATGCAAAACAATTATTCGTTATGTAGCTGAAATTCCAATTTAATTCGACTCCCCAATTTTATCTGGAAATCCTACTTTAGTGCTTTCCAATTTCTTCCAAATTGACTACAATGAGCATGCATTGCTTTTGAACTTAGGCGAAAAATAGAAAACTAGAAAATGCAAACTAAGATGAGGCTGTGTAATTCGTAGCCATGATTACCATTTCTTCTTTAAAGCGGAAGTCTGCAAGTCGTAACTCATTATTTACCCTCTAAGGTAACTTAAGGAATAAATTATTAGCAGCCATAACATGACGTGGTGCTGTGGAATGAATCAGACCCGGTGTGAAGGCAGAGCTCATCTGCTTCTGGGCCAAATAACCTTAAGCAGGACAGTTAATCTCTCCTGGTCTAAATTTACTTCTCTTTTTAATGGGAAAAAAAGAACCTGCCTTACTGGTTGTAGCGAGGTTCATGCAACAGGAACGCGCTTTGTGATTCCTAAAGCACTATGTCAGTCTTTACAGTTTACGAGCAATAGCAAAATCCTAGGATCGTGACATCTTGGAGGACCGCTCTCCAACCGCGAGAGTAAACGAGACTTTCCTGGAACCCCGACTGTTTCATAAGGCCCCGGGACTGTTCCTACGTCTCTCAGCGGGGCTCTTTAAAGAGATAAATCAGCCGGAGGAGTTTCCGGTTATGTCTGCGCCCCACCACTCTCCCAAAATCCACGGGGGTTGAATTCTGAAAACCCCCAGGCTCTAGGACCACACTGGAGGATCCGCCGCTTGGCTGCTGCCCGGCTCAACCGGGCTGTAAATTCCATCGTTGCAGCGTCATTGGCTTGAGAGCTTCCTGAAGGACAGCACCAAGAGCCAATGGAAGGCCGCTATTCCCAGGCGGCCACGTCATAAGAGCCAATCAGGCCCTCATTTGGGCTTAACTCTTTAAAGGTGGGTTCGCGTCCCCTGAGAAAGTAGTTGGTAGTAAATGTGCCACGTCTTCTAAGAAGGAGGGAGTCCTAAACTTGCCTGAAGCCGTTGTCCCTAAGCCTTGAACTACGTTCTTAAATCTATGAAGTTGAGGGCCCTTTCGCTGCTTTTGTAGGAACTTCTTTCCTGCTTCAGCAACATGAGACTTTTCTTGTGCAACGCGGTCTTGATGCTGTTCATCACTTCTTTGATTGGGGCTCTGATCCCTGAACCAGAAGTGAAAATTGAAGTTCTCCAGAAGCCATTCATCTGCCATCGCAAGACCAAAGGAGGGGATTTGATGTTGGTCCACTATGAAGGCTACTTAGAAAAGGACGGCTCCTTATTTCACTCCACGTAAGTAATTATGCCCCGCAGGTAAAATAATAATTAAGAATTCACTCACTTATGCCAGCTCTCCAGCAGGAAAGGTGGCTTGTACCTGGTTTTACCTCTTTTACAAAACCGAAATATCTTATTTCCTTCTTTGGGAAAGGAAATTGTTTAAAGCCAGTTTTATGTAGCGAGCGAGGCCTTTGAAGGTCTTACTGGAAACATGTGGTCTGGAAAAGGCTGTTAGTTTTTTTTTATTATAAAAATTAGAACTAGAATCTTTGAAATATTGCAGAAATATATCTGGGTGTATAATTGGGCAATAAGTAGAAAAAGCCCAAAAGAATGCTCCTATCTCAAACTCCATTTCTTAGAGAAAATGACTTGATTCCATTTTTAATGTGATGTAGGTGATGTTCACCTAAAACTTCACAGAGACTTCAAAAGCAAACTACACAATCACTTATTTGCCTGTTGAAGGATATACTAATGCCGTTTCACTGACCTACTTAATTTTTGTTCTGACGGATGATATTTTGGTCAAGGCACAGGACCATGATTTCAGTCATTTGCTTCTTTCTAGAGAGTCACACTTCATTCATGAGGTGGGTGTGGTTTTGGAAGTTTAGGTGAAGGATTTTCAGGTGGTTACACTATCATTTCTGTTCTATAAATGAAGAAATTGGAACATGGAAATGGTTTTCAGCCTAATGATTTTCAATTAGGCATCGGTTCCATTCATTCCATTATGAAAGTATTTAGTGAGCATTTCCTTGATGTTAAGCCATGTTCTGGGTGCTAGGGAGATTCAGAAATTTTGGCTTCTAATCATCTTCATCTATTCATTAATCTGTCCATCTATCAAACTCTTATTGAATGGTCACAAGTCTGGTCCTGGAGACACAAAGATGGCTAGAAGCAGGTTCTTGTCCTCTAACAGTATACCATCTACAGGCGGGAGGAAGACAAGTAAATAATGCAAGTGATACAGGGTACAGAATATTCAAAGTGCCAGCAAAGCGTAACTGCACCTGGAAGTAGTTATGCTCCATGGGGGTGGGGAAAGGGAAAAAATTCCCAGAGACCGTAATTGAAGTGAGCCTTGGAAGATGAGTGGAGGTTTCCAGGGGGAAAGTAGGGAAGGAAGGATGTTGTACGTAGAGGGAATAACGTGAATTAAAACAGTGAATCTTCATAGCCCATCCTCGACCTAGTTTTCTAATAAACTGCCTTTACTGGGCATTCAGACCTGGTCTCTCTTGAGGGTTGGGGAAATGAATGGGGCTCTTCTCTGAACTGTTAGCCCTGGGAAAAAGTTCCAGAAAGATGGCTTGCCTTAGAATTCTCAACAGCCCTTTATTCTTGTCAACTAGGTGAATGCCACAGCCAACATTAAATGATGTGATTTGCATTTTGAATATTCAGTTACATTGTTATTTTTAGTCTGATCTCTTTTAGACTCAGCCTGACTTCTTTCAGATCTCTGAACCAAAAACCTGGGCTGACTTTGGTGGTAGCCATGGAATATTATTTAGTAGTTTGCTACTAAGTTCTAATACCTGATGAGGGGACTGTTATCATGCAGCCTCCATGTAAATGGTCAGAAGCTGCTAACTGTAAACATCATGAAGAAATACCATCAAATGGGCCGGGCACAGTGGCTCACGCCTGTAATCCTCAGCACTTTGGGAGGCCGAGGTGGGCGGATCGTGAGGTCAGGAGTTCAAGACCATCCTGGCCAACATGGTGAAACCCCTTCTCTACTAAAAATACAAAAATTAGCTGGATGTGGTGGCACACACATGTAGTCCCAGCTACTCAGGAGGCTGAGGCAGGAGAATCACTTGAACCTGGGAGGCGGAGGCTGCAGTGAGCCGAGAATGCACCATTGCACTCCAGCCTGAGCAACAGAGTGAGACTCTGCTCTGAAGAAAAGAAATACCATCAAATGATCAGTTTGTAAGCACGTTTGCCATCTCTAGAACCATAACCTATGGGGTAAATTGCTTAGCCCTAACAAGAACTGTGCTAAAATTCTAGTCAGTAATGAGTAGTAGAATGTTTCCTGCTTTTTTCATTTCTAGCCTTCCCAAATTTTCTACAGTTGGCATTTTGTTACTTTGATCATTGGGCAAAATTACAGGAAAAAATGGCATTACCGAGATTTAGTAATCATGAAGCCTAGTACAGTGACTTCTTTTTCTTACCTACAAGATATCCTTGAATAGAATATTTTCCTTATTGCGCTGAAAGGGAGCTAAGTAGGGATCAGGCATTACTCAGCCCTCAAGCCCCCTTGTATTTAGTTCGGCAGGTTGGTTTTCCTAGGTTAGACTCTTTTCAGGTGGTTATACTATCATTTCTGTTCTATAAATGAAGAAATTGGAACATGGAAATGGTTTACAGCCTAATGATTTTCAATTAGGCATCGGTTCCATTCATTCCATTATGAAAGTATTTAGTGAGCATTTCCTTGATGTTAAGCCATGTTCTGGGTGCTAGAACATCCTATTTCCCTCCTCCCCAGTTGATGTGGTTCGACTTTGTCCCCACCCAATTCTTATCTTAAATTGTAGCTCTCGTAATCCCCACGTGTTGTGGGAGGGACCTGGTGGGAAGTAATTGAATCATGAGGGCAGGTTTTTCCCATTCTGTCCTCCTTGTGATAGTAAGTCTCACGAGATCTGATGGTTTTATAAAAGGCAGTTCCTCTGCACACTCATTCTTGCCTGCTACCATGTAAGACATGCCTTTGCTCCTCCTTTGCCTTCCGCCATGATTGTGAGACCTCCCCAGCCATGTGGAACTGCAAATCCATTAAACCTCCTTTTCTTTATAAGTTACCCAGTCTTGAATATTTTTTCATAGCAGTAGGAAAATGGACTAATACACCAGTCCTTGAGCGGCTACTCTTCCAGACTTTCCTATATAGCCCTACTATAGACCCCTGAGGAGGAAACCGGGCTAGGGTCTGAGTGGGGATTTAGGGATGAAAAGCAGCCTTTTCTACTCGTCAGAGCCATCAGCAGGCCATAGCTAAGGAAAGTTTGTAGGCAGGATGTAAAACACTGTGCTTCTCACTCTCCATATTTGTGTGCATATGGACCCACATATGTTGGCAGTAAATTCTCCTTAGTCTTTCAATCTCCTTCCCAAACTCAGCCATTTTTCCATTATTTTCTCCCTGTTCTACAACCTAGTGGCCTTCCTGGGACAACATAACTTTGTGGTTAAGACCTTGAACTTCGGAGTTAGGTTTAAAGACTGGAACGCTTAACCTGTGTTTCCTTATCTGTACAATGGGGTAGTAATGGTTCTTACATTATAAGCTTATTGTAAGGGTTCAGAGGCAAAACATAAAATAAAATTTAGAATAATTCCTGGTATACGACAAATGTTCAAATGGTTGTTAATTGTTTTTATTTCCTCTGTCTTTCTTAAGCCCAGTCAAGTACGTGAAATTTGCATCAAGAAAGATGGGCAGTGAATTGAATTCCTATAAACTTGACTTGGAGGTGTGTGTATGTGTGCAAATACAGAATAGCTGTATTTATTAATTTTTAAACTAATAAACTTAACCACTTACTGGTGGGAAAATGCACTAAAGAAATTTTTTTAGAATTAGTAAGGAGTTGTAATGTGTTTTCTTTCTATCATAGTCACAAACACAACAATGGTCAACCCATTTGGTTTACCCTGGGCATCCTGGAGGCTCTCAAAGGTTGGGACCAGGGCTTGAAAGGAATGTGTGTAGGAGAGAAGAGAAAGCTCATCATTCCTCCTGCTCTGGGCTATGGAAAAGAAGGAAAAGGTAATAGTATTTCTGTATTTCTTACTATAGCACTAGAGTTGGTCTCTGGATTAGGAGACATAAGTTAGAGTCACTACAACTTTTTTTTTCCCCTAGAAGTTAATAGGGGGCATGTATTCCTTTAGCAACTGTATTATGTCTTGATTATCAATTGAAATGGCCAGTTTGTTTAATGTCTAAATGGGCAACTATACTAACAATAAAAAAAGAACATTGAGGTCTATTAATACTGTTCACCAATATGGTGGGTTTTAATTGTGATAAAATATACATAAAATTTTTCATTTGAACCATTTTTAAGTACACAGTTCAGTGGCATTAAATATATTCACATTATCGTGGAACCATCACCATTATCCATCTTCAGAACGTTCTCATCTTCCCAAACTGAAACTCACCAATTTACTGTAACAATGCAGAAAGAAAGATCCCTTAACATAAGTGTTTGGATGAGTTGAACCTGTGAAATATAGATTATTAAAGTATTGAATACATTTTAGATGTGGGTTGTATATGGGTTGTACTTCACAAATATTAAGTCTCCCACAGCAAACTGGGAGTTCTTTTAATTGCCATTTTAAAATTTATTTATAAAGCTTTTAATAATGTATTTTTTTTTAAATCATATAGCGACATGAAATGAATTTAATTCTCCCTGTGTCACAAAGCAGAAGCAAGCTGGCTAACTGGTCCGGACAGCTTTTGTGCTAGTTTTTCAGGGCAGACACATATACTGGTATTCAAGTGAGAACCCCTGCAACTTTCCAAAGAGCTGCTTTGTGATATATATCAAGAGGCCTGGGCCAGGCATGGTGGCTCACGCCTGTAATCCCAACACTTTGGGAGGCCAAGGAGGATGGATCACTTGAGGTCAGGAGTTCAAGACCAACCTGGCCAACATGGTGAAACTCTGTCTCTAGTAAAAATACAAAATTAGCTGAAATACAAAAAAATACAAAATGGTGGCGTGCGCCTATAATCCCAGTTACTTAGGAGCCTGAGGCAGGAGAATTGCTTGAACATAGGAGACAGAGGTTGCAATGAGCCAAGAACATGCCACTGTACTCCAGCCTGGGGGATAGAGTGAGACTCTGTCTCAAAAAAAAAGAAAAGAGGTCTGAAGATGTCTATATGCATTTATTCTATAATTCCTTCAAACCTAAGGGAATAATTCGATATCAGGAAAAAATTTGTGAACAGGGATATCCATCATTGCATTGTTTCTAAGCAAAAAATTGGAACTGTCCTAAGTGGTATACTGATAAGAATTTAGCTAAATAAAATATGGCCCAGTTATTTAAAATGCCATTTCCAAAGAGTTTAAAAATTATATCTGAATTGTGTGAGATACAGTGTTATATATAAAAGTAGAAAATAAAGCTATAGTATATATAATGTGATAGTAAATATAGGAAAAAGTATATATACATAGTTAATCACAAGGAAATAAGAATGTTAAGAATGGACTGTGATACTGGGAATCATATTTATTTCTGGTTTTATCATCCAAGTACATGCTCTACAAGGAGCATGTATTACTTACGTAATGAAGAAAAAAAAGTTTAAGTAGTCATCAGAACCAGACAACCACTCTGATATAGTATAAATACAGACTTCATAGCATCCTGAAGTCTAAGGTTAACCACTGACAAAGTGAGGAGTCAGGATTCCCAGCCCATTTCCTGAGAAGGAAAATAGATGCCATATGGGAAGCATTATGTATTCCAAAATATACAAATCTATACAAATCTTCTTCATAGGATAAGATTTACTAACCAATTTCAATTCTTCTTTTAGTTATAATCCTCTTTAGAGAAGAAAACCAAGTATGTAGAAAATTTTTTTCTGATACTGAGAATTTTTTCATTTTATCTTTATTATCTCACCTTTAGTATTTATATACAGTAGTCCCCCTTTACCTGTGGTTTCACTTTCTACAGTTTTAGTTACCTGTGGTCAAATGCAGTCTGAAAATACTAAGGTATTTTGAGAATGAGAGACAGATCACATTCACATAACTTTTCTTGTGATATGTTGTTGTAATTGTTCTATTTTATTATTTTTAATCTGTTACTGTGACTATTTTATAAATTAAACTTTATCACAGATATGCATGTATAGGAAAAAGCATTGTATATATAGGGTTTGGTACTATCCACGGTTTCAGGCATCCAATGCAGTTCTTTGGACATACCCAAGGGGGGACTACTGTACGTTGTTTTCGTCCATTACTCTTTCTCATACTGTATTTAACTCAAGTTTACTTCACAATAATAGAGATCTAAATTTGAGTCATTTCCTTCAAACTGAATGCCATGAAACTAATTTTTCTAATCTGTATTTAACACTAATTTTGTAGTCTTTTAGTACATGCTTGCATGCCTCTTTTGGAAAGATACCAGTTTTATCAGCAACCTAGCGCGTGTCGCATCTCTGTCTAGATCTGAAATGGTAAGCTTCAGGACACTTTATAAGTCTTCTCTTTGGAATTTATGAATGCCCTTTCATGGAAATATGTGGGATGGGGGGAGGATGACTAAGAAATATTTAACATGTTTACTCAGACCTGTATGTTAAATATAGTTATAAGGAAACAAGTTTGAGGAAAACAATTGTCCATACTCCACAGATGGGTGTTCGTTTGTTTTAGGTTCCTGGGATTTTAACAAAGCTCTTTTCACTTTTAAAGATTTTTAGTCTCCCTTCTCAGAAATTCATTTTAATTTCTCCCATGCCATGAAATGTCTTCAACATATATATAATGTTCTATGTCCAAGGTAGTGTTTCCTAACTTTCTCAAATTGTTAAACCTTCCTGCATTATTTTTAAAGCCTATGAGAAAATTATACCTCAGTAACATGTATTGAGAGTTTACTATTTGTCAAGCTTAATGCTAAGTATTTTGCGTGGATTTTTCTCCCTTTAGCCTCCCAACAGACTCTTGAGGTAGGAAATTTATTATCTGCATTTGATAGATGAAGAAATTGAGGCTTAGAGATGGGCAAATGTAAACTTCAGTCTCAGACAGTGTGACACCAGAGCTCACTCAATTATATAGGTAGAAATGCCTTCCAGTGGTAGAAATGGCAATACTGTATGTATTTCTAGGTCAGGACTTTCTGACCAAAAAGTTAGTTTATTACTTATAATATACTTAACTCCGAATTATCTAAAACCCTTTAAGTCCTTCTTGACATACAATATATATTAATTATATTAGAAATTTAATACCCAAGCCATTAGGTACATCTCTATGTGTATATATATATATGCATTGTGTGTGTATTTACATTTTAATTGCTAAGCCAAAGATAGAATACTTTTGCTCTGCTAGTTTATATTATTTCTTCTTTTACTCTATTCTATTTGAGTAAAATATAATATACATAATTTTCATCATATATGACAATCTTAGGAAGGCTCTTTAATTCAGTGAAAAAAAATATTTTGTCCATTACCATAAATTTTCTATTATTAAAACTTTTGGCTCTTTTAAAACTTTCTGCCTTCTCTCCTCATGTCAGGTAAAATTCCCCCAGAAAGTACACTGATATTTAATATTGATCTCCTGGAGATTCGAAATGGACCAAGATCCCATGAATCATTCCAAGAAATGGATCTTAATGATGACTGGAAACTCTCTAAAGATGAGGTGACCTTTCCTTCTTCCTACTCCTCTTTCTGCTTTTCTTTGGTTGTTTGGGGTTTTGTTTTGTTTCTGTAACTCACTTTTTAAATATGTGTATATTTAAAATTTACTTTTATTTAGATAACATTTATTTATAAGTTTTCTTAAAATACTGATGCTTTGAAAGTGGACTTTTTCATAATAAATCATTGTTTTGGAGAGAAATATATTAAGACTTAAAAAGCACCATTCAATCATTTGCTTTTTTTCTTCCCAGTGCTTAGGGTTCACTGTATCTTATCCTTACCCTTTGGTCTTTGAAAAAACCATTTTGCCAAGACCGTTTCCATCTGGAGTTACTGTATAAGAAGCTAGCTGTCCTGAGAAATATCTCATGTGGACAGTTTATGTTAAAACTGTAGACTGGCTGTTAAATACATCTTGTAGTGTTTTCCTAGCAATTAACAGCAAGCAACTTACATGCTCAGTTTTGTTCAGGTTGCCCCAGATAAAGGAGACCCCAGCCTGGGTTTTACACAGCAGGGCTCCAGCTCCATCAAAGTCTGAGCCTTTGGGTAAAGAGAAAGGAAAAAGAGGCTTCTCCTTATAATTCGGCCATTGTTACACATACCTGTCTTAGTCTGGCTGCTGTGGGGAAAGAAGTGGAGGGAGATATTTATCCCTGTTTTTTATCTACTCATATTCCATTCTGTCCTGACTGGTCAGATATCAAGTCCCTTTCTATGCTTTGATCAAATTCATTCTAATGGCCAGGAAATGATTAAGTCTTGAATAAGCCAAATTGTTACGAACCAGGGGTTCATGATCCACAGCCACTAAATTTATAACACCTCATAGTGTTACCAGTCATATGACTTTTTCTTCCATCCAAGATAAATTTTAATTCCCTTTCATTAAATAATTTTGAATATATAACAAGTCAGATGGTTCAAAAAGATATTTATGTATTTCCTGAGACGGAGTCTTGCTCTGTTGCCCAGGCTGGAGTACAGTGGCAAAATCTCAGCTCACTGCAACTTCCGCCTCCCAGGTTCAAGCAATTCTCCTGCCTCAGCCTCCCAAGTAGCTGCACCACCATGCCTGGCTAATTTTTGTATTTTTAGTAGAGATGGGGGTTTCACCGTGTTGGCTAGGCTGGTCTCGAACTCCTGACCTCGTGATCTGCCCACCTTGGCCTTCCAAAGTGCTGGGATTACAGATGTGAACCACCATGCCCAGCAGAAAGATTTATGTAAAAGTCTTGGTTGGGCGAGGTGGCTCACACTTGTAATCCTAGCACTTTGGAAGGCTAAGGCAGGAAGATTGCTTGAGGCCAAGACTTCAAGACCAACCTGGCCAACATAGGAAAACTTTGTTTCTATTATTTACATTTTTTTTTTTTTAGACAGTCTCGCTGTGTTACCAGGCTGGATTGCAGTGGTGTGATCTCAGCTCACTGCAACCTCCACCTCCCAGGTTCAAGCGATTCTTCTGCCTCAGCCTCCCAGGTAGCTGGGACTACAGGTGCACGCCACCACACCCAGCTAATTGTCATATTTTTAGTAGAGATGGGGTTTCACCATGTTGGCCAGGATGGTTTCGAGCTCCTGACCTTGTGATCTGCCTGCCTCGGCCTCCCAAAGTGCTGGGATTACAGGTGTGAGCTACCGCACCCAGCCTATTTACATATTTTTAAAAGTCTTTCTCCTACCCACATCCTCTTCTATTATTCCGACATCCAATTTTATTACTTTTTTCTTTCTCTCTGTTTTTTTTTTTTTTTTTTTTTTTTTTTTTTTGTAGAGATGAAGTCTTGCTATGTACAGGCATGTACCACTGCATCTGGCTCAGTTTTATTAGTTTCTAATATATCCTTCCAATGTTTCTTTCTGCAAATCCAAATATACTCTTATTTCCCCCTTTCTTACACAAAAGGTAGCAAACTATACATACTGTTTTGTCATTTTGCTTTATTCACACAATATATCCTAGAAATACATTCTACATTAATCCATAGAGTTTCATCATCTCTCCCCCACCCCTTTTTTAGAAAACTGCATTAAATCACTTTAACTTAAAATAAATATATACTATATGTGTACTTCTTGAAAGCTGGGGGAGAGAGGATTTGAAATTGCTGGTCTAAACAGAAGGAAGAGAGGTGATGTGATTAAAACTGAAAATATACGCTGATTTGCATTGTGGTGAATCTTGTGGGAAATTGAAAACAATATTTATATTTTTAAATATCTGAATGAAATGAAAATAGATGCCAGGCATGGTGGCTCACACCTGTAATCCCAGCACTTTGGGAGGCCAAGGCAAGCAGATCTTCTGAGGTCAGGAGTTCGAGACCAGCCTGGCCAACATGGTGAAACCCCATCTGTATTAAAAATACAAAAATTAGCCAGGCATGGTGGCAGGTGCCTGTAATCCCAGCTACTAGGGAGGCTGAGGCAGGTGAATCACTTGAACCTGGGAGTTGGAGGTTGCAGTGGGCCGAGATCGCACCACTGTACTCCAGCCTGCATGACAGAGAGAGACTCCACTTCAAAAAAAAAGAAAAAAAAATGAAAATGGAAAATTGTAGTCTAGGCACTTATCAGGCCTGACTTTCTGAGATTGGAAGGTTGTGATTAGACTTAATCAGTATGGCATGATCATAACCAAACCCAGAAGACCCACTACTTGCAGACATTTATTCAAGTCAAAGATGCCACTATTTAGTTTTAAGAGAAGTGTCCACGGGGTGCAGTGGCTCATGCTTCTAATCCCAGCACTTTGGGAGGCTGAGGCAGGTCAATTGCTTCAGCCCAGGAGTTCAAGACCAGCCTAGGCAACATGGTGAAACCCCATCTCGACAAAAAATATAAAAGTTAACCAGATGTGGTAGCACATGCCTATAGTCCCAGATACCTGTGAGGCTGAGGTAGGAGGATTGCTTGACCCTGGGAGGCAGAGGTTGCAGTGAGCCAAGATGGTGCCACTGGGATTACAGACGCATGCAACCACACCTGGCTAACCTTTTTTTTGTGTTTTTAGTGAAGACGGGGTTTCATTATGTTGGCCAGGCTGATCTCCAACTCCTGACCTCAAGTGATCTTCCCACTTGGGCCTCCCAAAGTGCTGGGATAACAGGCGTGAGCCACCACACCTGGCCCTGCCTTTAAGCAATATTTTGTGTCTCCACTGTAGCAGTTTAGCAACAGTTTTTTTAAGGGAAAAAGTTTCTTATAATTTTTTAACTATCATTAGAACTATGTCATAAAATGGCTGTTTAGAAGTTATTATATTTAGTTAACTATTATAATAAGTTATTATATTTAGTTCAGTTAACTAAATATAATAACAGTCCATGTCTGTGATATTGACTGGCTTAATGTGGGTATCTTATGAATCCAAGTTATTAATGGGATCTGTTATTTTGTAGGTTAAAGCATATTTAAAGAAGGAGTTTGAAAAACATGGTGCAGTGGTGAATGAAAGTCATCATGATGCTTTGGTGGAGGATATTTTTGATAAAGAAGATGAAGACAAAGATGGGTTTATATCTGCCAGAGAATTTACATATAAACACGATGAGTTATAGAGATACATCTACCCATTTAATATAGCACTCATCTTTCAAGAGAGGGCAGTCATCTTTAAAGAACATTTTATTTTTAAACAACGTTCTTTCTTGCTTTGCTTTTTATTTTTATATATTTTTTCTGACCCCTATTTAAAGAACCCCTTAGGGTTTCTAAGTACCTATTTCTTTCTGGTAAGTTATTGGGAAGAAAAAGCTAATTTGTCTTTGAATAGAAGACTTCTGGACAATTTTTCACTTTCACAGATATGAAGTTTTGTTTTACTTTCTTACTTGTAAATTTAAAATGTTGCAACTGGGAACATACCACGACATGAGACCAGGTTATAGCACAAATTAGCACCCTATATTTCTGCTTCCCTCTATTTTCTCCAAGTTAGAGGTCAACATTTGAAAAGCCTTTTGCAATAGCCCAAGGCTTGCTATTTTCATGTTATAATGAAATAGTTTATCTGTAACTGATTCTGAGTCTCTGCTTGAGGACCAGAGGAAAATGGTGGTTGGACTTGACTTGTTAATGGCTACTGCTTTACTAAGGAGATGTGCAATGTTGAAGTTAGAAACAAGGTTAATAGCCAGGCGCAATGGCTCACGCCTGTAATCCCAGCACTTTGGGAGGCTGAGGCAGGTGGATCACCCAAGGTCGGGAGTTCAAGAACAGCCTGACCAACATGGAGAAACCCCGTTTCTACTGAAAATACAGAATTAGCCGGGCGTGGTGATGCGTGCCTGTAATCCCAGCTACTCAGGAAGGCTGAGGCAGCAGAATGACGTGAACCCGGAGGCGGAGGTTGCGGTGAGACGAGATCATGCCATTGCACTCCAGCCTGGACACTCTGTCTCAAAAAAAAAAAGAAAACACGGTTAATAACATATAAATATGTATGCATTGAGACATGCTACCTAGGACTTAAGCTGATGAAGCTTGGCTCCTAGTGATTGGTGGCCTATTATGATAAATAGGACAAATCATTTATGTGTTAGTTTCTTTGTAATAAAATTTATCAATATGTTATAGATGAGGTAGAAAGTTATATTTATATTCAATGTTTACTTTTTAAGGCTAGCGGAATATCCTTCCTGGTTCTTTAATGGGTAGTCTATAGTATATTATACTACAATAACATTGTATTGTAAGATAAAGTAGTAAACCAGTCTACATTTTCCCATTTCTGTCTTATCAAAAACTGAAGTGGGCTGGGGGTGGTGGCTCATACCTGTAATCCCAGCACTTTGGGAGGCCAAGGAGGGTGGATCTCTTGAGGTCAGGAGTTCGAGACCAGCCTGGCCAACATGGTAAAACCCCGTCTCTACTAAAAATACAAAAATTAGTCAGGTGTGGTGGTGCACACCTGTAGTCCCAGCTACTTGGGAGGCTGAGACAAGAGATTTGCTTGAACCCGGGAGGTGGAGGTTGCAGTGAGCCAAGATTGTGCCACTGTACTCCAGCCTGGGTGACACAGCAAGACTCCATCTCAAAAAATAAAAAATAAAATAAATGAAGCAGACCTACAGCAGCTATTATTGAATAAATACCTATCCTGGACTTAAAAAAATAAAAAAATATATATAATTTTATTTTAAATTGGCTTTTATCTTTCTTTTTATTTTAAGTTATCAAATCTTCATTTTCTAAGAATAACCCTTTATAGTGTACAAAATGATATTAAGTGCATTATTATCTTTGATTTTCATGGCTCTGAGTCATAAAACAAGCTGGTGGATCTCACTATACCTAATTTATAGATGAGGAAATTGTCATTCAAAAAGATTGATTGTTATGCCCAGGGTTAGCACTAACCTGTGGTAATCAGTATTCAGTCCCCAAGTTCAGTGTCTTCTACTGCCCTCTACTAATGAAAAAGTGAAATTTTTCCTTGCGCCTAATTCTCTCTTTAGTTTGCTGTTCCATTGTTTATCTTTGAGTCTTCATTCTCTGAAGATGGTTTTCTGCCTGTTTCTGGTACATTAGAATTCTCACTATATCGAAATGGCTCCAGATTCATAGCATAATCTTGCAGTTAGCTCTGAATTGCCTCAAAAACCCTGAACAACACGAGGTTCCAGATGTGTTTTACTTCTTTCATTCCTATTTACCCCCATTTGTTGTTTAAAAAGAATTATGAACAATTATTACATCATATGTAGACCACTTTCACTGATTATATATTGATGTTTTCCTCAGTAAAACATAAAGTTCTTAACAAGACTATACTGTAACACCTTTCTCCAACAAAATCAGCTGTGTGTTAAAAACTATTAAGTCATTGCTAATGTTTTAAGCCATAATACAGAGAGCCTTATACTCTATGATGGGAGGAGAGAGAGTAGTTTGTCCTACAGTGCTACTCTGCATAAACATTACTGATGCTATCTATAGTAGGGCAAGAAAAGTAAAAAGAGTTTTGATTATTCAGGCAGCATTTTTAAAAACCTGTGAATTTGTATCAGTTCTCATCTAAACATTTGGACACAAGTATAAAATGAAAACATATGCACAAGTTATGGTTTTTAAGTTACCTGTTTTTTTTGGTTTCACCGTACCTTTGCACCTTCTGTTAGTGGGAATGATCAGACATGAACTGTGACTTCACATGTATAGTCATACCTCGCTTAACGATGGAGATGCACTCTGAGAAATGTCTAATTAGGTTATTTCACCGTTGTGGGAACATCATAGAGTGTACTTACGCAAACCTAGATAGTGTAGCCTGCTACACATGTAGAATATGTATATAGCCAATTCTCCTAGGCTACAGCATGTTGCTGTTCTGAATCTTGTAGGCAATTGTAACACAATGGCAAGTGTCTGCTTATCCAAACATATCTAATCATAGAAAAGATACTATAACAATATGGTATAAAAGATTTTGTAAAAAATCTGATCAGGTGCAGTGGTTCATGCCTGTAATCCTAGCACTTTGGGAGGCTGAGGCAGGTGGATTGCTTGATCCCAGAAGCTCAAAACCAGCCTGGGCAACATGGCAAAACACCGTCTCTACTAAAAGTACAAAAACTGAGGTTGGAGGATCACCTGAGCCTGGGGAGGTCAAAGCTGCAGTGAGCCATGATCATACCACTGCACTCCAGCCTGGGTGACAGAGTGACACCCCATCTCAAAAAAAAAAAAAAAATATATATATATATATATATATATATAAATATATATATTATACCTGTATAGGGCACTTACTAATGGAGCTGACTGGAAGTTGCTCTGGATGAATCAGTGGTGAGTGAATGTAAAGGCCTAGGACATTACTGTACACTACTGTAGACTTTATAAACACTGTACACTTAGGCGACACTAAATTTATAAAAAATGTTTTTCTTCTGATTGGTCGTGGTGCCTCATGCCTATAATCCCAGCATTATGGGAGGCCGAGGTGGGTGGATCACTTGAGGTCATGAGTTTGGGACCAGCCAGGCTAGCATGGCTAACCCTCATCTCTACTAAAAATACAATAATTAGCCAGGTGTGGTGGTATATGCATGTAGTCCCAGCTAATTGAGAGGCTGAGGCAAGAGAAATGCTTGAATCCAGTAGGCAGAGGTTGTAGTGAGCCAAGATCAAAACAGTGCAACTCTAACCTGGGCAACAGAGGAGCAAGACTGTCTCAAAAAAAAAAAAAATTTTTTTTCTACAATTTTTATACAAATAATAAAAAACTAAGCTTACTGTAAATTTTCTAGTTTAGAAACTTTTATTTAAAAACAATTTTTGAATTCTTCTAGTAATAACGTAGCTTAAAACACATTGTACAGCTGTACAAGAATATTTTCTTTATATCCTTATTATATAAGCTTTTATATATTTAAATTTTGAATTTTTAAACTTTTTGGTCAAAAACCAAGACAAACACACTAGCCTAGGTCTATGCAGGGTCAGGATCAAGACGTCCCTAGCAGGTGACAGGAATTTTTCAACTCCATTATAATCTGTGGGGCCATCATCATATATATATGGTATGTTGACCAAAACGTGTTGTGCCATGACTGCATAATTTGCGTCAATACTGCTTAATGTGCCATATTTAAATTTACATGACTATATTGTGATATTCTTTTCAAAATAAAGTTTATTTGGGAAATAACTGATTTTGTGAAAAATTCTTCAACACCAATTTCCTCTGTAGTTGTATTGATTTTCTTACCTATTATTCTAAATTTTATACCAAAAGTGAGGAAGATGGACAGGTAGTGGAAGGAGAGGGGTACAGCGACACTTTAAACGTGCCTCTGATTATCTGCTCTGTATAGGTATATTTGTAAGAAAAGCTGTGGTTTGATTTAAGTTGCTTTGAAATATACATTAAGTCTTGACCTTTAGCATGATAGTTAATAGTTAATTCTTAGCACTGAAGAAAGTGTTTTTGGTTTCTTGAAGGGGAGGAGGGAGGGTGATGGTTATTGTCACTGTTGTTTTGGTGTAGGGTTTTATCGTGTGTAGCAGGTGGACACAATGATTTATGCCTACTGCATAAATCAGTGCTATAAAATACCCTCTGTGATTAAACGAAATGTGGGGTTGCCATGAAAATAACAAGAAACAGTGATTTTTGATTCAGATGAAGAATCTAGCCATTTGGATATGTCCTTGTGGAAATGAATTTGTAGTTTTTATATTGTTAATGATGTGCAGGATATTGCTTATATTTCTTTTTTTTTTTTCTTTTGTTGTTGTTGTTGAGACAGAGTTTCACTCTTGTTGTCCAGGCTGGAGTCCAGTGGCGCGATCTCGGGTGACCACAACCTCCGCCTCCCAGGTTCAAGAGATTCTCCTGCCTCAGCCTCCAGAGTAGCTGGGATTACAGGCATGCACCACCATGCCCAGCTAATTTTTTTTTTTTTTTTTTTTTTTTTTAAGTACAGACAGGGTTTCTCCATGTTGGTCAGGCTGGTCTTGAACTCCCAACCTCAGGTAATCCACCTGCCTCAGCCTCCCAAAGTGCTGGGATTACAGGTGTAAGCCACCGTGCCCAGCCTATCGCTTATATTTCTGATGCTATGTGGAGGTCAGCATGCTATCTCCCCCCGTTGAACTGTGTATATATAGGTGATTTCTCAGTGTTGTCTGGAAATTGCAAAAGGAGAAAAAGGAATTTGGTGGCATGTTATGGGAAAATATATTCTGTTACCTTTTTATTAAAAAGGTAAATTATAGGCTGAGTGTGGTGGCTCATGCCTGTACTCCCAGCACTTTGGGACGCTGAAGTGGGGGATCACTTGAGGTCAGGTGTTCGAGACCAACCTGGTCAACATGGTGAAACCCCATCTGTATTAAAAATGCAAAAATTAGCCAGGCATGATGGTACACAAATGTAATCCCAGCTACTAGGGAGGCTGAGGCAGGAGAATCATTTGAACCTGGGAGGTGGAGGTTGCAGTGAGCCAAAATTGTGTTACTTTATTCCAGCATGGGTGACAGAGCAAGACTCCATCTCAAAAAAAAAAGAAAAAAAAAAAAAAAAAAGAGCACTATCAGATGCAGGGAGAAACAAAAAACAAAAAAAGTAAATTAGCATTATAATAATAACCCTAGGAAAATAAAAAAGAACTTCTTTTCCAGAGATGCAGAGAATTTTTGTTTTTTGTTTCTTGCCCATTTTACCTTAAATTGAAATCTAAGATACCTAAATGATTATAAACTTATATGCTCATTTAAAAGCATTACTATGCATTACTATTATAGTACTTCTAGTACTTCTGTCTCTTAATATCCTTAGCATTCTTTTTTTTTATTTTTATTTTTTGAGACAGAGTCTCACTCTGTCGCCCAGGCTGGAGTGCAGTGGCGCGATCGCGGCTCACTGCAAGCTCCGCCTCCTGGGTTCACACCATTCTCCTGCCTCAGCCTCCCAAGCAGCTGGGACTACAGGTGCCCACCACCATGCCCAGCTAATTTTTTGTATTTTTAGTAGAGACGGGGTTTCACCATGTTAGCTAGCATGGTGTTGATCTCCTGACCTCGTGATCTGCCAGCCTCGGCCTCCCAAAGTGCTGGGATTACAAGCGTGAGCCACCGCGCCCAGCCAGTACTTCTGTCTCTTAATATCCTCAGCATTCTTTTTCTTTTTTTTTTTTTTTTAATCTCAGCTCACTGCAACCTCCCAGGTTCAAGTGATCTTCCCACCTCAGTCTCCTGAGTAGCTTGGACTACAGACACATGCCAACACACCCAGCTAATTTTTGTATTTTTAGTAGAGATGGGGTTTCACCATGTTGGTCAGGTTGGTCTCGAACTCCTGAACTCAGATGATCTGCCCACCTCAGCCTCCCAAAGTGCTGGGATTATAGGCGTGAGCCACTGTGCCTGGCCAGCATTCTTTTTAGTAGGGTTTGTGTATTCCCTTTAGTACACTGAAATCCATACATTCTTACCTTGGGTTTGGAGCCTGTTTGAAGATAAATGATTTTTTCTTTAAAATGCTGTTTTGGGCCGGGCGCGGTGGCTCAAGCCTGTAATCCCAGCACTTTGGGAGGCCGAGACGGGTGGATCATGAGGTCAGGAGATCGAGACCATCCTGGCTGACACGGTGAAACCCCGTCTCTACTAAAAAATACAAAAAAAAAACTAGCCGGGCG